CAGCAACAACAACAAGCAACTGGATGCTGGATGCCGTTCCCAAACGAATGTGAGAGAAGGAGAGAGCAAATGCAATTTTACAATGTTACATGGAACGAGAAAACGTTCCATTTGTACAGCCATAGGTGCGAGCAAGATGCAGCATATGTGCGTGTGTGTGTGTGTGTGTGGGTGTGTGGGTGTGTGCGAAGGAGAAGCATAGATGCAGCGCAGGACTTGTGCTTTGACGCCTTTTTGATTTGATTGTCCGTGACATGACAGTGGAGAGTGGAAGGAGGAGAGAGTGAATCGAGGGTGTTGACACCCCCCAACCCCACCCCCCACCCTCCTCTCTGCACTCTCTGCCCCCTGGCTCATCAGCTGCCGCTGCATGTGCGCCATTTGTAATTCAAGTCAAAAGGCAGTCCTCGACGGATTATAATTTTCTTTTCCGTTTCAATGCATTTCATTTCCGTGCCAACGCACGAACGACCCCTGATCCCATCTCTACATGACACACACACACACACACACACACACACACACACACACATGCATACGTGAGTGCCTATACTCAGGTACAGTTGCGCACAAAAGTGTAGCAATCAAAAGCGGCAAGTAATCAATTTAATCTATTTTGTAATGTTTCCACGAAACATTTTCCTTCATTTTCGTTTCTGTTCAAATGCTGAAAATGCATTCACAGAATCTCTTTCCGGTTTTAGCTCTCAAAACTAATCAAAACTCTTTAAGAAATGCACTTGGAGTGAATGTATCATCCCCTGAGGCTGCAATGTGTTGTATTTTGCGTTAAAAATTCCCTAAAATCTAATTCCCAAACACCATTTTCCCCCTTTAAATTCCTTCACTTCGATTCTTGAACCGAGCTTCATGGGAACTGCCAATATTTTGCTCCACACTGTAATAAAACAGATTTTTGTGTGTTCTTTTTCGACTCTTTTTGACTCAATTACAAATTTTGTTGCAAAAGATTTTGGCAAGACGGCTGCCGGCAGACAGGTTGCAAATGGCGCGCATAAATAATGCCGCTCGCAATCGGATTGCATGACTTGAGGAATATATCAGAGCAAAGCATAGAAATATGGACGATGTTTTACATGGTTGGGGAAAGTCGTCTGGAATGGTACACAAACCTAATTCAATTTACATTCGAAGCAGATTGGATTCTGCTACAGTTGGCGGCAGCTTTTGAATTCAAATTGGCTTCACTGTGAATGGCAATAGTGCTGCCCCATCAATCAACAAAGAAAGAGTGCCGCTACGGAGCTGCCAGACAGGACGAAAGCTTTGGCTTACCTTGAGTGTGACCCTACCAGTTATGCGATTAAAATACCACCAATGCAATTAAAGTACCATTTTATCGTTTTACATTTCTTACATCAGTATCGACTTTTACATTTTACATCGCTAATTTAATTCTTTTTACAACGATAATTGCATTGAGATGCCCGCAGAGTGACCAGAGTGTAGCTCCAGACAAAAATACCGACTGCGGCATTTAAAGTTTATGTTAAATGTTGCCGTTCAGTTGCAAAAACAATACTCTTTTGTTTTCTTTCCTCTTGTGTTTCTTAGGCTTAGTAAAACACTTAAACACTTATATGTCTAATTTTGTTACAGGTTACAAAGTTCTTAATTGCGGGAAGATAGCCAAAAGCCCAAAATAATAAATCCAAAATCAAGTAAACAAACAAAATTATAATAGAGAATGGTTGCAAACATTCTCCGCTAATGCTTAGAACATTTTAATTTCTTTCTCTAAATTACTTATCCGGCGAACCTCATACTCGTCGTCGTCTGGCACCAAAATACAATAAAAAAAAGAAAATAATTATGGTAAAGGCATAATGTAAACTACATCTGAACTCAACAACTTTGTTTATACATATAAGTATGGGGAGGAGTTGTATCAGGAGTAGGAGCAGGAGCAGGTGCAGGAGTAGGCACAGCTACATAATTTTTGCATATGTATTAGAGGGTGGTGTTGTGGGTGGGAGGGGGAGGAGCGGGGTTCATCATACAAAATCCACTACTGAGAATATTTATGCTAGTCCAAAAAGTACATAGGGACACATACCTAAATCTTATAATAAATCTTGCTCAATGTGAATTATCCGAAATGCAGTTCGCCTGCTGTGAGTGGGGTGGTGGTAGGGGGGGGGACATGCGTCAACAGTAGTGGCAGCAGCAGTAGCAGGAGGGAAGGGAGATTCTAGTTCATGGTGAAATTACTAACAAGGTGACGTCGTCAGCTGCATGGTGAAATTACTAATAGGTGACGGATACACCACAGTGCTTCTCATTCGAGGAACACCAGCTTGTCAGTCCTTCTGCCAAACGTCGACCCATGAGGTTGTGTAGCGCACGATTTTTTCATTGTCTTCCTTTTCCTTTTCTTCATTGTTTACGAATGAAGACGTACGCGGAAGGCAATGAATTATATTTTGGATGTGTAATGAAATGTGTATGTAATAGAATCTAAAAGATCCAATTACATCTTTTTAGAAACAAACAAAATATTTTTTGCTATGCCGCTACAAAGGTTTACTTTGCTGTCAGCAGAAACAATAACAATAAGTGTATAACGTTAAACGTTTGCTATCTCTCTCTAGCGCTTGCCTCTCTGAGACGCTGCCGACGTCACCTTTTTACTAATTTTACCATGATTCTACCATGATCTGAGTGGAGGAGCTCCAGCTTATTCACCACGCTCTCTCAGCTCTCAGAGAGGCAAGCGCTAGAGAGAGATAGCAAACGTTTATTAGAACTTTCACCATGAATTTACCATGAGCTGGTGTTCCTCTAATGAGAAGCACTGGGGTGAATCCGTCACCTATTAGTAATTTCACCATGCGCTAGAGCGTTTGGCAAACGACTGACAAGCTGGTGTTTCTCGAATGAGAAGGCACTGTGGTGAATCCCGTCACCTTACTACTAATTTCACCATGGTCTAGTTTTTCTCTCTCGAGTCTCCTCCTCCATCCTCTGTGCCCGGGAAGTACGCTGCTCTCTTTCTTAATTATTTGTTTGTTTTGTTTTTTTTGCTGAAATTTCTTATGAAAATAATGCTGGAGCTGCCGCTGCTGCTCAGTGTGTGTGCGCCGTTATCACGATGTTGATCTGCGGATAGACCTCCGGCTTGGCCTCCGACGTGATCAGCTGCACCATGCGCTGCTGCAGTTCATCCTGGCTGGCCTGTGTGCCCGGCGGTATTATCCAAATGGCATCTATGTGTGGGCAGAGAGAAAAATAACAATTAGGACAATTTTCTGGGCAAGCAACAAGTCTGCCTCGGGGGCAACTCGGTTGTGTGTGTGTGTGTGTTTCGCTCACCGCCGAAATACCAGCCATTTGGTGTGCAGAGGCGCCACATAATCGGCGGCTGGGTGGGCATCAGATCGGCCAGAATATCACAAGTTTCGCCCGGTCGCAGGGATGGTACATTGATGCGTTGCGTCTGGATGGGCGAGGTCAGGTAGCAGTTGTTGGGCCACCGCTCGGTGCCATCGTTTTGCACCTGGAACGCCTGCTGCTGGGCATTCACATGCTGCCCCTGGACGATCTTCATTGATGGCAGCGACTGCAGACTGCAGAAATCCAAATAGCAGCCGACGGCTGTTTGCAGACTCCTTTTGGGGCGAAGAGAACAGAACAAAGGATGTCAGATGGGATCTGTGGATGGGCCAATTTGCTCTTACCAATTGCTCATCTCCAGGTAGAAGCGCGCCGAGTCCCGATTCATCTGATTGTTCATGAGGCTCTGGAACTGACTAATAAGATCCTCATGGTCTGTGGTGCCCATGCAGCTGAACTGCTGCAGCAGCAGCGAGTCGATATCAAAGTCGTTCGTGGGCAGGCCCTTCGGCTGGTGCGGCACCGCTGGCGACGATGCCGGAAGTGAGGCTGGTGCTGACGAGGAGACAACAACGCCGCCCGCTGTCCCGGGCGGCGCCGGCAGCGGTATGGCGATGCTGTTCGTCTCCATCATGGGATTTGTGGTGGTTGTTGTGTTCGTGGTCAGGCCAAACAGCGGCTCGCATTGCATCTGCTGCTGTTGTTGTTGCTGCTGCTGCTGGAGATTCAGCTGCAACTGCAGATGCTGCTGGTCCTGGTTCTCTGTGGCATTCGGGGACTCGTAGTTCTCCTCCACATCCATTGTGACAGCGGGCGACTGCAGCGGCGTCGGCGGCGTGCACTCTGCTTGCTGGGGTTGTGCTGCTGCTGCTGCTGCTTCTTCTTCCTCCAATGCGCCTGTGTGGGTGTGGGGTCTTGTTATTGCGGCGAGCTCTGCTCTGCTCCTAGTCTCGTGGGCTGGCTGGGCAGGTCTTTTGTTGCGGCGTACACTGCAGGAAATGTTGAAATGAAAATGCGTTTTAGCTCTTGCTTTGTTGTTGTTTCAGCAATCACATATACACACATGCCAACACTGGAAACGCACCCACACACTCATACGCACGCACGCACACTCACACTTGCATGGACGGCTCGGGTACAGGTACACTCACACACAGGGCCAATTCCGATGTTCTGGTGCTAACGACCTACCTCTGGATGAAGCGGTGTCCTCCGGCGGATTGGTAGGAGACGGACGTGACCTTAACGAAAGGCTAATCTTATATTTTGGTGCAGGCGATCTCCGGGGTTTAAAACAGCAATGATCTCGGCAGTGTGGCCGCGGATTTATCGACACAAAATACCGTCTAACGCTCAGAAATATACCAAAATATTGCTTCTCATTCTCGAAATATACCTTAGTATTCCATTATAAGGCGATGTATCGTGAAAATACTGTTATAGTTTCAGTGCTGAGAGTGCTATGTTGCTAGTACTATTCAGCAGATTATCAACATGTGGAAATATGACTTTAATCGGTATAATTTAAAAATGAGAACGTATATTTAGGTATATATTTCCGAGCGTCAGGCGGTATTTTTGATCGATGCTGCGCGGCCACACACTGCCACCAATTGTTAATATTGTTAACAACAGTGTGTGTTTTGTACCAGTAGCCGGCAAATGCAGATTATCACTGAAAAAAGTCTACGTATCCAGCATCCGAAATAGATGATTCCGGGCAGTTGCTTGTAGATCCATTCTGCAATCGATTTTTTTATACAATTTTTTTGTTATTTGGGAAAACAGTTACTGAAGTGCAAATATAAGGAGCAACAACAATTACGAAAATTGTTTGTGTGTGTGTGCGTGTGTTAGAGAGAAGGGACTTAACGAAAATAACTTAAGCAGTAATTGGAAGAAGGCATAGGGTTCAGCGTAGCGTGTGTAAGAGTTTTAATAACACAATAATTAATAAAATAAAAAAACGTCGCCAACGCCACCCAAAAGAAAGTGTCGCCGCAGTCGCGTCGCTGCTACCACTCCAATATACACAAACACAGACGCTTACACAGCCGTACACGACGTGGACGTCAAGAGGAAAAAGGAGCGCGGCAAAACAAGATTGTAAAGAGTGTGAGCGAGAGAAAGAGAAACGAATGAAACGCCGACAGGCGACAAAGTGAAATTAACAATAAAAGCATAATTTATTTAAAATAACAACCAATCAAACAATCAGTAGAAATAATTAAGAAAGCGCGTCCAGCGGCCAGCATCCAAAGCAACAAAACAACAAAATGGCAACATTAAACAAATTCACGAAAACCCTCTCCATTGATGAAAAGACGGAGATCAAAGAGAAATTTACAGAGGTAAGTGTAACGGTAAATCAATAAGAACTGTTCGACCGCTCTCTGCGTTTTTGGGGGTGGCCCCTCTCCACCAGTGTTGTGTGGGAGGTGGGGCAGTCTATTAACATTAAATGCCAATTGCATGACTCACACAAGCACATACACACACACAAATGCGAAGCAAGACAAACAAGAAGATGTGGAAGAAGTAGTAAAGGCAAAAGAAGCTGCCGTTAACCCGGTGCATGTGGGCGTCGTCGTCGTCGCCGGCGGCGTCGTCGGCGAACAGCGAGCGCCATGGATACCCCGCCGCCGCAGCGGCTGCGACTTCAGTGCTGGCCTTGCAAAGCAACCAACCCCCCATGAAGAGAAGAAGAGATGAGACGCATCAGCCACAGACAGACACACACATATGTAGATGGGAGGTAACGGTGCATGTGGTGGTGCTGTGTGTATGTGGGGGTTGAGAGGAACCAACAGAGCAAACATCTCTCTCTCTCTCTCTCTCTCTCTGAAATGTTGTCGCAGATATTTCTGGAATTACTGATAATATATGAAAATCTGTAAAAGTTGCACTTATCTTACCTAAAAAATCCTCTCTGGGGAGTCGGCAGTTGCTGCAACTGCTAACAAACGCATGCGCGCTCTGTCAACGCACAAGTTCAATGTCGCTGTCGACTGCGCTGCCTGTGCGCCCATCCCATTCACTATGACGCTATGACTAACAAACGAGCAACGGTAATGGACCAACTGTCCCATCTTTCACTTGAAGACCATTTCAAGGGAATTTCGGGTGAATATTATTTGAATATGAGCGTTATTCATTTATTTCCATAGTATGACAACACTAAAACGGCACGTAAAAGAGCTTGCCGCTGCCAGAGGCGCTGTTGCTGCTGCTGTCGATGATGGCTGTAAGAGGCAGTATGGTTGTAGGACGGGCAAGAGTGAAGAGACAGCACTGAAAACCAGTTTCTGTTTAAAATAAAAATCTCAAGCCCGCAACCACACACACACACTGACAGACACATGCAAAGCCACTTGGAGAGCGTGAAAAACTACGTCTCAGCTCTGACAACGCCAACGTCGCACAGTGGGTGTTTATGGGGTGGTTCGCTGGCATCCCAAACTGTTCAATAGTGGGTGGTACAAGCAAAAGCTTCCACAGCAATAACCACAACTAAAATCAGGCATCCCGAAATGTTCATAAATTCTAATTCTCTCACCCTCAAAACTTTGACTCTTCTGCACTCTTAAGTTTTCTAAAATATCAAAAATTTCAACCCGATGCTCTGCATCCGATCGATTCGGCCCCACTGTGCGATCGCTTACGACGTCTACCTTGGTTCAAGGGGCACACACCAGTCTCTAGCTCGTAGCAGTTTCTGTTCAATTATTATGCACAAATTTAATAGTTTGCAATTGTTTTTGTTTCCCTCTGACCTCACTTCAATGCATGTGGCTGGCCAGTACTATTACTTTACTGTTTTTGCTTAGCTCGTGATTCTTGGCAGTTCCAAAAATCGAAACGAAATGCAATGAAACGCCCACGCTGCACTTGCCCTGGGGGTCTGCGCTGCCAGCACAGTCGTAAAAACTGGCAGTCCATGTCAGTTGGATGGTTGATCGTTCGATTGCATGATTGCGCTCCAGCAAGTTGGCAGCTCCTTCTGCACGCGCGACCCGTTAACCAGAAGCACAATGCGGGGGCATTGTGTGCGTTATGGGGCCAACGAGTGTGCGTGGCCAACGAAACGATTAATACTCGAGAATCGTAGAATGAAAACAGGATAAAGAGAAACACACACACACACAATACAATGGGCGCGCACATCAGAGCAGGGAGCATGGAGCAGGGGCGAGGTCAGTGTGGGGGCAGCGTTGCACTGATTGACACTTGAGAGCTTGGAATCTGTTTTTGTTGTTCTTGCTGCTTGTTACTTGTGTGATAAGGGGAGCGGAGAGGGAAGTAGCGCGCGCTTAACGATGACTAATGCAAAGAGAGGGAGGGCGGCAGATAAATACAGTTCCGCATTCAATTGCTCAGTAACGGTTCTTGTTTCTTTTATTTTGTCTTGCTTTGTTCTTGCAAATGTGTCTGTGTGTGTGAATGGATATCCTAAATTAAGATTATACGAGTAGTGGGAGAAAAACCATCTCCATATGCTAATAAGAAATGTACACGAAATATATGTTTTTTTATGTTAAGACTGCTTGCAGGGAAAATCTCTTGTTAGATCAAATTCTTATTCTTGTTGAGTATAAGATCTGTTAATCCTGCACGATGTGCACGTGTTTATTCACTCGACTCCAAGAAAAGCAGTGCATCGTTTTTGGGCAGGATTAGCCATTACATACATACATAAATATGTATGTACATAGAAATACTTGATGTGTGGGTGTGTGTGTGTCCACACTCCACAAAAACACACCCACTCACAACGCAGTGCTTTTGTTTTCTCTGTCTCTGCGTCTGCGTCTGCGTCTTCGTCTTTGGGTTTGTTCTGCGTGGGAGTGTCAGTGTTAATTGCCGCAAAGCCGCGCATTTTGAGTGGCAGTGGCAGTGCCTCCCTCCAAAGGGGGATGAGATATGCAATGTGTTTTTATGGGTTTTATCGTTGGACTGAATAATGCTTTTTGTGAAGTGTGTGTTGCATGTTGCTCTTGCTGTTGCTGCCTGCCTCTCTCCCGGCGGCACATAATTCATTTGGCTGCGCGTTTATTAGGTCTTTCGGTTGACGCTGGTCTTGTTTTTGTTTTTCTGATCTTACTGTTCCCATTCACACACACATATGAGAGCACTCTGTTGATGCAGCTTGGCTTTTATCAACATTGCGGATGCCGCAGCCCTCCTCACTCAAGTGCATTTTGAGTGGCCCCGAGGGGCAGCAGAAGGATTGCTATGGTGTGGGCAGGGGAGGCCCACTTAAACATACTCTTCCATTCCATACCGTTTTGTATTGTTGTTGCTGTCTGCTTTCATTCACTTTGTTTTTAATTTCTTTGTCATTTGGATATGCACATGCCAAAGATTTTTGAATACACTGCCACTCAAAGTCGTCGTGCCACACCACCACAATCCTCGTACAGTGGGTCGTGATGTATGCAAACACAACGGACAATGGATTAGCAACGATGATGATGATATCATTTCTTCAAGGAAAGAGAGTCACGTATGTGAATGATACGTGATTGAAGATTCTTTCAATACAATCAAAAAACAAATTAAAATACAATTAAGTACATATGTAAATATTCTTGTGTGTATTCTCTTTATTTATTGCGATAAAATTCCATAAATCGACTTTTAATCTGTTCAGATCCTAGAATGTTCAGCCATGCCATTCCTTGTTCCAGTGTAAAAACAGTGAAAGTGGCTTCCAATAAGTGTTGCATGTGCGACTGTTCAGTTGCAGCTGCATCCTTTCTTTTTCTCTTATTCTGCTCCTCTCTTCCGTTCCACTAAACATTTCTCTTTCTCTCAACTGGACTGTCCTATGCAAAAGTCGTTCGGTCGAAGTTTTGTCGAAGCTTTTTATTTCTCTCTGCCTTTTTGCTTTTTCTGTTTTTCGTTTTCATGCTGCTTTTGCGTGCAAAGTTGCTTGAACTCTGGCCAGCATTACCTTTTTTGGGTGCACCATGGAATGGTGTGGAGGGGAGTGGAGTGCTTATGTTTGTGATTGTGTTTTGTCATTTTCTTTCTTATACATTTTTGCCAATTAGTACACATGCCAGAGGGTTATATTTTATTTTGATAAGCATTTGCGAGCATCAAATAAAGCTAAAAGGTATCCCAAAGGTCGACACTGCCTTCTATTCTCTCTTTTTGGGTTTCACTTGACACAAGAAAGACCGCGACTGACAGACAGCCAGTGAGCTAGAGAGAGAGCGAAGCTAAGAGTGAGAAAGGATGGGGGGAGTGTTTAAAGAGTTAATATAGTCAAACAAAGATACATGGATGATTTAGTTTCTCATTTTCAATATTTACCCGACTGTAACGGCCCTCGCCCTCTCGCTGTCTCTGTCTGTTGCCCTACCGATCTTTCACTTGTTTTTTTTGTTGTCATCGCACTCGTTGATTAACTGTAAATTTGCCATAATGAAGTGCAGAGCCGCAACAGTAGCAGCGAAGTTGACGTTGACGTTGAAGCCGACTTTCACAGCGTTTTGGTCGCGTGCGCCGACTGGAACTGGAAGCAGTATTGTGACGGCAGCGGCGGCTTTGGCTGTTGGAATGCTTTGTTGGAATCCATTCAGGCATATCCAATACAATTAACACCCACCCGCCTTTACCTTTACCTGTGCCTTTGGCTCTTCTCCGCTGTGGTGGAACCAGAAGTTCATTAGTGAATCTAAACGATCTTTTAGTTCCACAATTGAACCCGTTTGTACTGCCACTTGACACTGACACCACTGCCGCCCCCCACCACATTGAACAGAGCTGCGCCCTCAATTAGCAGCAACCTACACCACCCACACACGCCACACTGGGCTGCCTCACACTAATTAGCAAGTAGGGTAGCTCCATTAGTCACTTTGTGTAAATTATATCCTTGTGACTAATATGTATGCGTATAATGTATCCACTAACTCACTCGAAAGTGTAATCAGTCGCTGTCCGGCACTCGGGACAGGCGCCACTCCTTTGCCCGCAAACAAAAACTACCAGTCGAAACGTTTGGAGTACAAGATATTCCCTTGTAGGGATAACCGGATATTATTAAGGACGGGATATTAACCCCATGAATACTTCAAAACAATCTGCCCATGAATGGTCTTCATGTTCTGATATGTAAATAGTCTAGTAGTTCCAGAAATCCATTTGCCATTCTGCATACTGCTTTCTGGATGTTACATTTGAAAGCTGAACTTCTGAAGTGCAGTGCAAGTCCCATCCCACACGCAATGGCAGTACATGAAATGACACTCTGGGTTGTCCGGTCCGGACACAGGGGATTGTTGGCGGATATGTGTCACTGCTGATTATACAATTTACTTAACTTTTAACATGCTACCAAGCT